AAATCTCCAAACAGAGTTGAAGAAGTGTTAAAGGCCGATCAGAGTTTAAACGGGACAATTCACTCAAATAATGATGCCAGCAAATTAACAACAGCCGCTGACATAATAAGCAGTCAGTCTTGCATATCTCCTTTACACCCTCTGAGACACCGTTCATCATACTTTTCTGGCAAGCCTAGCCTATACTGATTGCACACTTAGGTAACAGCGTGCTTTAATTGAGATTTTGTCCCAAGACTCAGTGGTCAAATTAGCTATAGGACGGCCTCTGCATGTTGATCACCTAGGCATTACTTCACTTTAGCCAAACTCATGTCTTTACCTTTATAAACTATTCTGAGATCAGAAGAACAATTTTTAGTTTGGTTAATGTGGCACAAACCTGTGCACAAAGAGAAAATTTGATCAACTGTTTCCTCACAAAAGTCTGTGTACTGAATTCGTTGTATTGACAGGTGAACGTGATTTCACTGAGTGCAACAACATTCTAATCAACCAATCAGATTTGAGGGATACGTTTACAGTTTATGTGAAATTTAGGCTTACAATCAGGATTAGGTGCTCCTACATAAGTATTATTCACCATTTCATAATTTCCCCCTGATTTTAGGGATAAGTAATGGGTAGGGTCAAACATTTTGGACAGAGATGTTGTTCCTGAATCAACAAAATATGTTGATCCAGGAACATGTCTTACTTGGCAAAATCACAGTGAATGACATCCATAAAAGAAAACAACCCTGTTTAAAAAAGTGGCCTTGTCTTCTGGTCTCCAGTCACACACCGGACTAGAAGTGCTGCGCCGCACCTCAGACATCTCACAGGTAGCGCACACCAGACGCGTCATTCTGTACTCGTGATCTCAAATTCAAGATGTCAGGCTAAAACAGTAGATCTAATCACAAGAATACAGGAAAATTTCACTTCAAGAATGAACAAAGTGGCATCAATGAGTTTGAATTTAGGTGTTTGAAAAAACTGTGCAAATGGAAAGAGAAAGTGTGACCTTATGGTTACGACTTTAATGCACACTTCTTGTACTGTATTTATTCTGCTCTTACTGTGATTTTTTGACGCTTCATCTTTTGTGTGAAGTACAATAAACTTCATACAACTCATCAGTATATTTTTGGCCATCATTCGGACGGGGTCTAAGTTACTCTGCTACAGCATGCTTGTATTAATAGTGGATAAAAGCAAGATGACAAATAAGTTATAACCGTAATTAAACAAAACTATACCTGTTCTATCTCCATACAGCATATATTATCTGGCTCTGTGGGCATTATTGTCCGACTCCGGGTCGAAATGAACACAGCTACTGAGAGTTTCTGTTCTGATATTTTCATTCCGTGAGATGAGATTGTCTGCCAAAAGGGATACACACACAAAAACGACACGTTTTTGCACACCACCAAAAAGTGGCAATTTAAACATGCTGTAAAAAATTATCTGTGAGGTATTTTGAGCTAAAACTTCACATACACACTCTGGGGACATCAGAGACTTATTTTACATCTTGTAAAAAGGGGCATAATAGGTGCCCTTTAAAGACATGATGCTTCTCATCCAGTGTGCTCCCTTTACGCTTTGTTTACGCTAATGTAAGATGCTCCTGGTTGGAGGACATCATTTACTAATCATAACCCGCCAAATTGGCTAGTAATTTAATACGCGTTACACGCCACGACTGATTTTTACATACATTTGGCAGGTTGGCGGGTATTAATTTCAAACCCTGGTTACAATATTGCACTAGGTTTTGGAACAGACTTGACGAGTCAGTACGACTCTGCTCAGGCTTGTCTGACTGAAAGAACAGATCCAAGCTCAGCTCCGTTTTATCCTGAACCCCTCCCAGTGAGAGAAAGAAAAAGTACAAGACGGAGAGAAAGCTAATTCTGTAGGTATGCAACGTCTCTTCTACAACTCAGTGTTCCCTGAGAGAGGAAAGACTCCAGAGCACCTGGAGTTAAAGGATCTTAATGCTTAAATACACAATTAGACTTCAGGTTACAGACATGCACGCACCTCCCAGAGTACACACTGCAGTCTAGTGCTGCCCTGCTGGAGTTTTCTCACTTGATTGACATGGAACCTGCTGGAGCTCTCTGGGCTGAATGTTTCTTGTCACTTCTAAGGACAGAGGACTTTGTAGCTTTGCAGCCTCCACACCATATTTTGCTTTTTGACAGAAAATTTCAAATAGAGGTTTTGGATTTTACTTTTTGAAAAATGGCTAAAAGTCAGAATTCACAGCTCAACCCACTGCAAGTGACAGTTACTCATTGGAAAAGACCTGATGGAGTAAGTATGTGAAATCTGCAGTCTAAACTAAAATATTACATTGGATATACGCTGGGAGGTAAATATCTGTTCAGCACACACAGGGGGAAAAAGTAGAATTTGAACAAAATTATTCTTAATAGTTAATTCTGCACTGCAAAATATTGCTAAAACCAACAGCAAGTAAACTGTAAAAAAAAAAAAATTTTACTTATAATAACTGATTATGAGTGTGAAGAGAGCAGGATATATTTGATTTGTGCAAGTTCTGGCATTTCAGGATATATTTCATGCTTACGTGACACATTTACATGTTTCTTACAGAAAAATATCAAAGGTTTTCCTTGTGCAGCGATTTTTAATGCAAGCTAGAAAAGAGAAAATGGATTTCCTCCCATCACTGACAGAACTGCTATCAGTGTAAACTAACATGCACTATAATTTTGCTGCAGATTTGTCTTTTCAAGGCTAATCACTGTCCGTCATATTCAGTTACCTTTATTTTTATCTCAAGATCAAATGGATTTAGCCTTTAAAATGATCCTCACATCCATACATCTGCTATATGATTTTCCCCCTATGTTGCAGTGCAGGTTAATATATGTAATATATATCAATATTACTGTATTATATCATTTCATTATATTTACAATATTTCTGTTATCCAATAGGTGTTTGTTCGTCTGTGTATGTTTGTTTAGGGAGGATACTAATTACTGTGAACCATAAAGTGCACATTGATTCAGAGTTTAGTAGTATTATTAAATGACTTTACTATCTGGTGTTCGGTTAGTCATTTGGCTAAAGAGGCCCTTTGGTAATGTGTTTGTGGTGCAGGACTCTTCTGACCTCGTGTCAGTGGTATTTCACCTGACGTGGTTCAGTTTTCTGAAGTTTGTTTTCAAGACAGCAGTAGGGTTTGTTTGCCGATGGTGGAGGACTCACACAATGTACTCAACAATGTGCTAAAGGACACAAAGTATTTGTTCAAGACTGTGAGAAATTCATCCAGTCTACAATCTCCACAGATCGAAGATAATTGTTTCCACTCACGTTCACGTTGTCTCTGGGTCTGTCCCAAAGGCTGGACAGAACTCTACTGTCTGTGTCTTGGAAGTTCTCCAGGCTAGAATAAGCTCACTAGAGTCACATCAGCTGTCAGATAAGAACATGGTAATGCGTGTGGGAATCAGTCAAAATGAATAATGAGAAGTTTTAGGAAACAAAACAAGTGCATTTGAGATGTAGAAGTTAAATATTACACGTGTGCCATGAATTTTAATAATTTGCCTCAAACTGTGAATGCCTCTGTGTCATATTGCTAATTGGCATATGCACATGGGATATGATTACAAACTACTACAGCAGCCAATTATAACCAATTATAATTTTATGCAATTATAATAAACTTCATAGCTACAAAGACAATCAGCATTTTTTTTCCAAATATGAGAGCCTTTGAATAAGTTATATATCTCTATACAAAATCATGCCGCCATCAGGCTAAAGAGGAAATGCCAGTTCCACTGTATTCTGCATGAGTTAGGCCAAAACTAACGTTGCCACCAGCCGATATTGAATGCACTTGGCCGTAATAAATCATGGAAGGATCCAAAAACACTTTCATACTCCTAAAGAAGGTTGTGTTAGTGTTAAAGTGCCCCTATTTTAAAGGTTCCTAATTTAGTTTTGGAGGTCTCCTACAATATGTTTACAGGCATCCAAGATCAAAAATCACTTTAATTTATCATACTATACATTGCATTATCACTTCTTTTCTTGCAGTGTAATGGTTCAAACAAGGATTCCAGATTCGGTCTCTCTAAACCCGTCTTTTCTGAGAGCCTACTCTGCTCTGATTGGTCAGATGGCCCTGTCTGTTGTGATTGGTCTATAGCTTACAGCGTATGTCGGAAACGACCATTACCATATCTGAATTTCAGCTCTGGGGCTTCCTCAGCACTTGTATGCACAGAGATACGAACAGTAACAATGTTGTCGGTTTGATCATATCAATTCGAGCCCGAGTCCTCATCCTTTGGTAGTGCATGTAAAGGGGATATGCTCTCACAGTGCAGAAAACAACGTCTTATCAACATGTAAACAACACAAACCAAACTCTTCCAGGCCTCAGCTACAACTACAGTGTTTGAGAGCGGGTCAAAGTTTGTGGGCAGCCAATAAAGACCATTATGCAAATTGTCGGAAAATTATGTACGAATAACTGACGACTCGTTTCAGGCAGTTCAGAATCGGTTCTTTCCTTGGGAGACAATAACTCCATTTATTGTTCACTTTGATCTTTGAAAGTTTGCAGCCCTTTTACATTCACAAACAGCTACTGTACATTACACAGTACATGAAATGTAATATCTGAAAAAGCATAATAGGGGCACTTTAAAATCTGTATTATGTGAAAAAAAAAACTTTCCATCCCATTAAAAAAAACTTTTCTATGAGTTTATTTATATAAGTTAGTTGATAAAGTTAACTGGCTAATAAAATGCATTTTGTTGTAGGAGTATCCCTGCAGTCTGAGTACTTTAAATGATGAGAGATATGTGATATATTTTCATTAGGTGTGTGTATCCCGCACTGCAGTGTGTCGTGTGTGTTGTCAGCCACACCCCTCTCACATCATGAGAATGTAATCTAGGGGTCAGCTCTGAACTCATCTCATCTCATTTCATCTCATCTCCTCTCCTTTCTTCCAGACTACTGATTTATTTGAAATGATTGAGAAAATGCAGGTAACGTGTTTCTTTTACTTTTCTCGTTTTGTCCTCCCCTCTGCCTTTCATCTTTGATGTAGAGACTTTCCATTAACCCCTGAATCAGCTGTCTTCACTGGCTACATAGTTGCACTTGCATGTCTTTTGCTGTAGTTGAAGGTCATCCCAGTAAATAATGAGGACATTTATTCATTAAAAACCATAAGGATGACCCCGGGGCCAGTCATTTACCCAACCAGCGATGCACTGACACTATACTGTATCTTATGCTCGTTGTTCATGTGCATGTGAAAACGTTTGTTGTTGCAAACAACATTGCTTGTATAAATATGAAAAATATATGATTTTTTAATTATAAATCTGATTACATTGCAATTATTGTAAACTAAACCTAATTTATGTAATTTTGAATTTGCAATTTGGATTGTAGTGTTAAATTAAAAATATAACCCTTTTTTGAAGCAAATAATTTTTTATTCTTTTATGGGGCAAGTTAAAGTTATTTATGTGTTTATTATAAATACATATTACAAAAAATATATTTATTGTTGGGCCCTGATTATCACAGTCTTGCAGTTGCCAAATCTACAATGAGAACATGATTTGAATTTGTGGAGAACAAACTAGTCCCTATCTACGGTGCTTAAAAACAAGATCCTGCTGTTGAGTACACAGAGACATATTGATCTTAGACATTTGATATTACTGTTGTTATCTCTAACTTAGGACAGACAGATGTCTAACGATAACAAGTGCACTATATGCACCTTAATGTTTCAGAGAACAACATGGCATTGAAATTGGATCTGATTTACTGTTGGGTTGCTTCTGGATGACATTATACAGTAAAAGAGAAGCTCAGCTAGACGTGCAGGATGTTTTAATCGACAAATGTGTTGGTATGTATATCACAGTTGGTCTGCTGGAATTCGTCATCAAATAGGTCAGACATTCGATCTCTGTTGCATCTCAGTGCAGCATTTCAAATCTACAGCAGTTCTCAGTAGGGTTTCTTTTTTTATCTTCAGCATTTTAGTTAAAGAAGTGGACAAATGATTTGATATTTGCAACTTCAGGATTTTATATTTTGTATAATGGCTGTAAATAGCCTTGTAAATATTTGAACGTCTTCTCCCTGCACGCTCACAATCGTGCTTTGATCTTGTGTTCCACTGTCTGCCATATTCATAAAACCTGATTAAAGAGAATAAAAAACAGTTCATTATCTAAGACTGATCTTAAGGCTGATCTTTTTTTCTGTCTTTCAGTTTGTCTACCCAAAGTAATTTGCTCTTTTAAAATGTTGTTTAAAAGCATGTGAACTTTCTTTTATTAAGATTTTATGGTCTTTCATAATCTTTTTTATGAATGTCCCATTATGCCGTTTAACTTTTTTCATGCATTCTTTCCCCTGGCGATTGCCTGTTTTATCCTTGCACTGATGTTTAATCTTGTGTGGATAATTTTAGTCTCTTTTTTATTAATTACATAATATTTTCTTGTAAATCATCCTTTTAATGTGAAATAATTTCTCTTTCTCTTGTACTCTTTAAGTACAAATTACATTACAATAATTACATTAATTAGTATTTTTTAAATTTTTGCTAAAAGGGAATTTGCTAAGATTGCATTGTTCCGCTAATTGCTTTATTTTACCCTTTATTTTACAATCCTGTTCCCCATGTACATACTATGTACTTATTATAGTAATTGTAATAACTAGGTACTTACCCTGAACCTAACCTTAACCCATGTAGTTACCTTATATTACCAAGTACTGTTTTAGGTGAATATCCTGTAAGTACATGTTGGTGCACGTACTGTAAAATAGTGCAACCATTATATTAATTTAAATTCCAAATACCATGCATAAAAGTGAATTGCTCCTAGGAATGATATTCCCATTGTGTCTTTCTTAAGATGTATATTCTTGTCATTTGTAAACTGTTATTTCCTTTTCTTTTTTAAAAGTATAATCAGATTCCTCTTCCTGAGTAGATCTAACCAAAGTGTTATTTTTGCTTTCACACGTGAGCTCACAGGCCTGCTATAGGGCTCACAGATTCTTTCTTTTTATCTTTCAGAGCAACAGAATGGATGAGCAACGAAGCACTCTTCCTCCTCCTCTCAAAGTATGTTCACCTCACCGGCTCTCTTTTGTCCCTGTACACACGCACACTCACAATAATACAAAACACGTATTGTCTGAGGGCCACGGGCTGCTGTTTTATCTGCGGGCAGACGGCTTCAAATAGAAGAGCTGGTTATCAGTCAAGCTGGTGCATCTAGTTTTCAAAGACATCCGTAGCCCACTTTCCCTTGCACTAATGGAACTGCAATCAAATAAGATTAGCTGGTGCTGAGCAATATTCTCTGGCCTGAGGCCTCATTGCCTGTAAAGAATCAAACCGATTGTACCATGTACAGTTAGTGAGTTAGTTCTCTTAAATAAACCAGCAGATGAGCAAGCAGTGTGGTTTTTGCTCCTCGGGTCATTGGAGTTTAAAAACGGTCTGTTGCAACCAAATGAATCCACTGCATAATTCATGTTTTGAACATCATTTTGTTACAGACTGAGGAAGACTACATTCCTTACCCCAGCGTTCATGAGGTAAACCAGTTCAAAATAAACAGCTGACAGAAATTGTTACTGCAGTCGATATCTCAGTGGAATTTACTGTGGGCTTGCACGATTGACTGTCAACGTAATTGTTTTTCTTTGCTGTCTCTGTCAGGTTCTCGGCAGACAGAGTCCATTTCCCTTGATTCTGCTGCCCCAGTTTGGGGGTTATTGGATTGAAGGGACCAATCACAAGCTGAGCAATGGGATTGACCCGGAGCAGCTCCTGTCTCCCACCTCACGTTTCAAACTGGAGTGCAACAACACAGCTAAGATCTACAGGAAACATTTTCTGGGCAAAGTAAGGATTTGTTTAAACAAAGTAATAGTTCAGCCAAAAGTGGTTAATCATGTCATCATTTACTCACCTTCATGTCATTAGAAAACTGTATGACTTTCTTTCTTGCATGGAACACAAGAAGTGAATTTTCTAATTAAAATAAAAATGCAAAAAATATCACCGTAAAACTGTCATAAAATGGTCCATACATGTATTATATTTCCATATGCACTATATGTTTCAGGCACTATAAGTTTTCACTAAAGACATTTGATAGCTTTGTGAGAGGAACAGACAAAAATGTATCATTATTAATATAAGTCATTTTTAACTGCCATTCTGCCCTAGCTCTACTCGGCATGTTTTTGAGGGTGTGTTTACACTTGGCAGTTTTGGTTTGATTAAAAGAAACTCTAGTGTGATTGCTCTGTTAGTACGGCTCATTTGAATAAATGTGAAAGCTGCCATCCGAACCCTGGCGCGCACCAAACGAGCGGAACGAGACCCCCTTATCAGGGAGTATTGGTCTGCTTCCAAGCGAACGTTGGTGCGGTTCGGCTGTAATGAATACAAAATTTTTGGTCCAGACCAAAAGAAATCAAGAGAACTGAACTTCAAGTTTGAACACCCTTAGGGCTCTATCTTGCACCCGGCGCAAATGACTTTGTACACTGACGCATGTATCATTCCTATTTTGCACCCACGCAAAGCGGACTTTTCCCTCCACAGACACACGTCGGTTAACTAAGAAATACACTTGTGCTCCCCGGGGCGGTTCAGCGCAAAGAGGAGGCGTCTTCCGGCGCAAACTTTCCCTCATGCTATTTTGCTGTTCTATAAAACAATTGCGCCACTGACCAGAAAAAACCTAGTCTAAAGTCAGTGGCGCGTTGTTCATAATGCTATTTTAAGGCATAATGTAGCGGGTGCACAACGCGCATACACTTTGATTCTCTCATCAACGCAGATGCAGCAGTTTTTATTTTTGAAAATCATACATTATAACAAGGAAAAATATTAACACATGAGGGAAATCATTGTGGTGTCCATGAAGATGTAAAAAATTTAGTTTTTTTCCTCCCACGCCTGTTTAACCGACGCAGATTCGGGTGGGTTTCTCCCATCCCCATACAACGTCACTTCTCTGTCTTTCACGGTCCTGACAAGAACGTCGGTCTCCTCGGCTGTGAACCGCTTATAACCGCCGTTATAATAGCAATCCGCCATGCAACATGCGCACCTGCTCTTAAAGGGAATGTGAGATGACGCTCTGATTGGTTTATTTCACGTTACGCCCAAACCACACCTATGAATAATGAAGCTACTTCAGACCAACCCCTTTTAGATTTGCGCCAGGCGCAAGAGTCATTTATCCCGCCGGGAAAATAGCAACAGCGCCGGGATACGCCCACAAAGTTACTTGCGCTTTGCGCTTTGACACTTGCGTTTCAGATCGTTAAAATAGGGCCCTGAGAGTTAAAAAAGGACCAATTTCCAATTCACAGAAAAAATATTCAGTCAGATCTTTTCAGTGAACGAGTTAATCCAGTTCACAAAACTGATCTGAATGATTCATTCACGGACTGTTTAGGTTCTCAAATTCAACTTAATGACTCGACTCAATGATTCGGCCACAGCAATCCACTGGAAGTCAAGATTATTAGCTTCAAGATTCAGTTTTTTCATCACACAACTCGTCGAAAATCATTGTCGAAAATGCATTGAAAAAGCTAAACATTCAGAATGGAACTACTCTCATCTATCATTTGAATAAGTTTCAATGATATAATTGTTAGCAAATGTAACCTAATTACATAGACCAATGTGACACCGCAGCAGCCAGACATAATGAAGATTTATTAGGTTTAGCTTCAATGGGCTTAATGTATTCACATCTAATATCCATTATAAATTAGACTAATGTGCATAAAGAAGTGGTCGGTTAGCCCTTAGGTTTGTGGGGGAGTGTTGAGACTAAAAACTGAGATGAGTTTGCAAGTGTGAAGAAGAATGAACGCTCACAGCTTCACCTTCTGCTCCTTCATTAGGAACACTTTAATTATTATACAGTGGACAGTGCCCTGGGCCACCTGGTGTTCTCCATGAAATATGATGTTATCGGGGACCAAGAGCATCTCCGTCTCATGCTCAGGTATGACCTTTTCCTTTCCGCTTTTTTGTTCTCCATTCTAGATAGCATATCCCGTCCCTCAAATCACTCACTTTTCTCCTGGCCTCATGTCCTGCCAAATGTCTTTATTGTGTGGATGAGGGGGGCTAATGAAGGGCTTAGTATCTGGCACAGTTCCACTACTTTGTTTTGAACTTTGGCTTTTACTGTGGACATTAAAAAGAACACACTGATATCTATTCCTTGACAACAACTGTGAATGTTTCCTGGGACCCACAATAAAACCTCTTTTCTCGCAGATTAAACAGGCCAAATGTACACGCCACCCTCATTTCCGCATTAGGCACCAGATGGACAATATAGGCCAATGTGTGTGGGTTGAGGGATGGCAGCAGGATGTTCTTGTTATCAAATCCATGTGACACATTTAATGATGCCTCAATGACACTGAGTTTGGTGGTTAATAAGTGTTACTGTTGTAGGTCTGGGCTGCGTTTTGCTTTAATATCATTAGAAGCTGTGTTTTTGAACTGCCAGGGAAAACAAGAAATAGTTTTTTTCTTGCTTTATAAACCTCACAAAATATTGCTTTATTTCATGCCTAATACAAGAACAAACTATTTGTTAATGGGGTGAATATATATATATATATATATATATATATATATATATATTTAATTAATTTAATTAATAAATGATATATACATGAAAATGTGTTATTTTATGCAAAATTTGATTTTACTCAGGATTTAGTCTTTTTACATTTAAGTTTTGCTATTTATGCCTAAAACTATTTGTTGTCAGTGTGGTAAGAAAAGTAAATATACATAAATTATTCAGACACCATATATAGTTTTTGATATATTTTTTTTACTTGTGGGTGCAGGACACTATAGTTCATTTATGTAAGTTAAGATAGCAAGGTGTATGAATACATTTTGGTTTGACTGTTTATATATATATAAGCATAAGCAATAAGGTATGAGAGGCTTCGCAGAGTGCCTGCAACCCCTTCAGCCATGATTTATTCACGATTCAGCACTAGCCTTGAGTACCTTATTGCTTTTATAAAACGGTTACCACACAATACAAATATTAAAGCCGAAAAATATGTATCTATGCAACTTTAATGAAGTAAAATCACTAAAAGCCTTCCTTCCGCTGGAAAAAATAGTCCCTGACCGTAAACAGCAACATAAGCTACATTGTTTCGCCATTAGATTGTGGCAAAAACTATCTTTATGAGTGAGTCAGTCAGTAGTGAAGACTTTTACATTGAAAGGACTCAAACTTGTGAACACGGAAAAGCAAGACGCAACTGACAAATGACTAGGGCACAGGAAAACCCCATAACTGTTAAAAGGACAAGATATCGCAGCGGACATTTAAACAGATTTTTTTATTATGAATGTACTGACCTGAAGGAAAATGCAATGTCTACTGTCAGTGCAGGTACACTCGCTTACCCGATCTCTCACAAACAATACTCTACTCTAGCTTCAATGAACAATAGGCTATCAATGAGATCAAACATATGTTTAAGTTGCTAAGAGTGGTTGCTAGGGGTGTTGTGTAGTGATACATAGAACCATTGGGTGGAGCGGTCATTGCCGTGTTTTATCGTGAATAAAACACAGATATTGACCAATCAGAATCAAGGATTGGAACTAACCGTTTTATAAATATATATATACAGGGCCTGGCATTAACTTTTTTTCTCACCAGCCACTGTGGCTAGTGGTTTTCCAAAGTTACTACAGTCCACAAGTTTGGCATCAATACCATGGGGAAAAACTGCCATATAGATATTTTTAATATTATCTCATAATTTGCCAGCACGTATATTAGGCAGCTGTCACTTTAAGACCTGACGCACTGATCCATTATAGTGTTACACACACATTTTCTTTCTCAACTGTTTACATTCACTTAAAACATAACTGACTGTGTTTACGTGAATACTTGCCAAGACCTGCATTTTGACATTATTTTGTGTGTATCTGACTGTTTAAGCACAATAAGCAGCGAAAAAGAACTCAATTTACTACTGAGAGGCTGCTTTACGTGCTCGCACTTTGGGTGTGAGCACACAATTTGCGGTAATGAGTAAAATACGCACAACCACACGGCGATTCATCCGGAGCAAATGAAAAATGTGAGTGAGGGGAGGCGGGTTTGTGTGTCGACTCGCTGTCGGAGAGATTCACGAGAGAGCCAGAAAGCGCAGCTGGTATCTGTTATCTATTCTGTGGAAAATTAGTATTGGAAGCGTTTCAGATAGGCTATTTCAGTATAAAAATAATCAATATTTTTGACAACACTACATTCCACTTACTTTATTATATTGTTATTTAAAGACTACAATTGAAAACTGTATATATAAAATGTGTGTGTTTGTATTGCAGTGTTTAACTTTACTCTTATGTTGCCTTTCTTTTTTTTTACAGAACAAAAATGAAAACGTATCACGATGTGATTCCAATATCTTGTCTAACCGAATTCCCCAACATTGTCCAGATGGCCAAGGTGAGAGTGAATCATGCGAGGAGGGGGTGAAGGGGTCAGCACGGTTGTTTTCATGCCCTCCAATTCATCACACTTCTCTCTGAGTGACATGACTGATTGTCTCACTCCCCCATGAGCCTGTTCTGTCCTGCCTGGACAGATGACCATAGTGTTCATTTTTACAAGATCAAATGAGAATGAGGAGAATCAATATGTGCTTTGTCTTTTCGTTATTATCAGCTCGTCTGTGAAGAGGTGAACGTGGACCGCTTTTTCCCAGTGCTTTACCCAAAGGTACGCAACCCTACATCTTTGTATGACCCATCTGCATCATAGTGATAAGCTTTATACACCAATGCATGATCCCGGATCATTTGTTCTGGTTAATTTAAATGTGGCATTGGGAAATACGCTAGTTTCAGCAGAATGGTTGCTCTGCGTCTCTCAAGGGTTTGCAGTGTTGACAGAGCGGTACCTAAAGGACACTTATTTAAGTCATCTACCCCTCCCGCAGGCCTCCAGACTCATTGTCACATTCGACGAACACGTCATAAGCAACAACTTCAAGTTCGGAGTCATTTATCAGAAGTTTGGACAGGTGAGTCGCATGGGAAGCCTTATCTCCGTTTGCTCCTGTCATTTAGCAGATGCACAGAGATTAATTGTTGCTGTAACTCACCTTCATAATTCATCTTTATTTAGAACACCACCTTTGAAAATCGACGTTTTGAATAAAAAATCTAACAAAGTAGTCCTTCCTCCTCTCGACCTCACAATGGCTCCTCTGCTTAGACAACAATCAAACCATTGTCTTCATTTGTCTTGTATTAAAATCATAAGGCTATTGTTCCCAGAGAAGAGCTTTGATTACATTAGGACAGTCATTGACCTTTAAGGCCGCAGAGAGGAGCCGAGAGAGAGCGAGAGGTACTTAAGAGGTTCTTCGAGGAGGCTTGCCAGCAACACCCTTAGCGTATTAGCATGAGAGCGGAGGCCTGAACAGCCTCTTCATCTCACAGATCGATGTGTTTACATACTCAACCTTTCCAGTGTGCAGCAAGAACACCAAGGCCTTTGATGGGACGTGCTCTTGTTCGAAATGCACCTTATGGATCAGCCCTCAAATCTTCCGCTTGCCCTTCTTTGACTCTAAATGGGAGACTATGTTTATTCAGAGGAACAATTAGCATTTGCATCAAGCTAATTGACCCATGATGAGCCATTTAGGTTTGCTAATTTTAGAGTTTGCTTTGTCCTCATCAAGATGTTCTTGCTTTTTTGTTTGTGGGTTCAATTCATTTGGGTTTTGTTGAATGTCAGGCTTTGTGCTGTAACATTACGTGGTCTTGCTATTGTGATTTGGGATATCTGAAAGGCTGAATTACTTTGTTATTTTGTTCTGTAATCGAAGTTATGATAATGCATGAAGCTTCTTTGTTGCATAGACCTCAACAGAACCATCTATTGTGCCTGGTGGGTGTACAAATGTTTGCTTGAATCTTATCAGCATTATGTGTTTTTATCTGTGTAGACCTCAGAGGAGGAGTTGTTTGGGAATAACGAGGAGGGTCCTGCTTTGGTGGAGTTTTTAGAGTTTCTGGGACAGAAAATCGAGCTCCATGACTTCAAAGGGTAACACTTATAAACAGAACGCTCTTACTCTCTCTCAGTACGGCACGAGAGAAATGTAGACGCACTAGATGAAATAACTTCATGCATTAATTAAAATAGAAGCTTTGGATGTTGGAGTTGAAAGTGCGCATCTGAGGAGACATTTCACTAAGAATGAATTACACTTGCTTTTAGAGTTGTTTATTTGCACTTGCTTGACCCTGTAAAGAACTAAATAAAATAATGCAATTTTAATAATAATAAATAATAAATAAATAAATGTATTAATTATTATTTATTAATTACAATTAAAATGCAAATTAATCACTTTTAAATGGTAAACATTTTCTAATTTAATTAAAAAATATATATATATACTGAAATTTAACAACAAATAATACAATAATATAAATCTTTCAAAATTGACAAATAAATAGACATATCAAAAACCAGTAGTTCCCCTTCAGTCGCTCACGTTCGACGTGACGTCGACGTGACGACGTTAGGGGATCACTTCAGGGAGCCCTATCAACTTCGAGTATCTAAGAACAAGCCACAGCGCGGGTATAAAACAGGAAGCGGGCGCGAGCACCCACCGTCTTTCATTTCGGAGCGCGAGTTTCCTGTGACTGATGTCTAAAGATTCAACGCCTTTGAAGAATTCAAGGAAGATCTCTCTGTTCCAGTGTTGGTGTGACGGCGCGATCAGCGGTGGCCGCGAGCAGTGCAGCTCTCAACTGCTGTTCTCACAGCACTATTGTTTGTGTGTGTGTGTGTGTGTGTGTGTGTGTGTGTCCACACAGTGGCTACCCCTGGGCGCCTGAGCACTGTGAGAGCAATTTCCTTTTTTTATTTTACTAAAAGAGCAACACAAGCGGACCCAGCGTCTTTTTCAAGATCTCATTCCGCTTGTGCGTTTCTGGATGCAGTCGTTCCCTGGCATCAGCAGATGGCCACAATAGCTGCATCTCGTGTTTGGGCGTTCGGCACGCTGAAGCAGCTTTTGTGGATAGCTCATGTTCCCATTGCGGGAATATGACTATCACAGCACTTAGATCGAGACTCGCTTACCTCAAGGGAGGTGCAGTCCCCTCGCCTATGCCCCGATCTAGTGCTTATTCTGCCCCGCAGAATAGGCCTACTTCGGCGCATGACCAGGGTGATCTGAGGATTACCGTGAGGGCTTCCCCGCCGAGGCAATCTCCGCGGGCCCCTCACGCCTCTCATGTGCTGTTGCCATCGGCGCCCCTTGGCGAACGGCTCGGTCCTTCTCCGGAACGACCAGTCGTTTCCTTTGGGGCACCAGCTGACGATCAGATGTCGATCGCAGCATCGGAGGGGGAGTGGTCATCTGGAGATGACGACTCGGCTGCGTTGCCCCCTTCGGGGTGTGTAGCGTTGTCCGAGCCGGATCCAGAATGGGCCGCTATGCTCTCCCGGGCCGCCGAGAAGGTCGGGCTTGCGTGGAATCCTCCACCACGTCCCGAACCTTCTCGGCTGGACGATTGGTTTCTCGGGGCGGGCCGTGCTGGTTCTCAGTGCGCCGCCCCGGTACCTTTCTTTCCGGAGGTGCATGAGGAGCTTTCTAGGACGTGGAAGGCACCGTATAGTGCCCGAAGCCGTCCTAGTGGCTCCTCTCCCCTCGCCACCCTCGACGGCGGGGCAGCTAAGGGGTATGTGGGGATCCCCCCAGTGGAGCGGGCTGTCGCGATGCAGTTGTGTCCGGCATCCGCCTCCTCCTGGCGGGGTGACCCACGCCTCCCGTCCAAGGCCTGTAAGTTCTCGTCCGGTCTAACGGCGAGGGCTTACAAGGCCTGTGGACAGGCTGCTTCCGCTCTTCATGCCATGGCGCTCTTGCAGGTCCACCAGGCCCAGGCGCTCATGGACATGAACGAGGGTGGTTCTGACCCAGAGCTCCTCCGGGAGCTCCGTGTGGCAACCGACCTCGCCCTCCAGGCGACGAAGGAAACCGCACGTTCAGTCGGTCAGGCGATGTCCACCTTGGTGGTCCAGGAGCCCCACCTTTGGCTCAACCTGGCGGACATGAGGGACACCGATAAGTACCGGTTCCTGGATGCCCCTCTCTCCCAGGTTGGGTTGTTCGGCGACGCGGTCGAGAGCTTTGCCCAGCAGTTCTCGGCCGCACAGAAGCAGACGGAGGCCATCCGACACATCCTGCCCCGGCGGACCGCTGCTGCTCCCACCCGCTAAGCCCCAGCAGCAGCCATCATCCAGGCCTCAGCGTGGAGCAAGCCGCAGGAAGTCGACCCCGCCCATCCAGGCCGCTGCCAAGCCAGGAGGCAAGCGCCGGTGTAAACATCCCTGAGACGGGCGGCCCAGAGGTGGATCAAGTTGCTCTTCAGGAGATGGCGGACGTGCCACTCCTTCCCCCGGTGGAGGGCCGGGTGGAGAATCCTTTGTTTCCTTTTCTTTTTGTTCCGCCACTGACCCACGGGTCAGTGGTACCCACCTTGTCAAAGAAAGAGCAATTTCTGAAACCTCTGGGCCTTAAGAGGGCGCGCTTGGCAGTCGACGACGCTATGCCTTGTCACTCCCGAGCCCCTCTTCCATCGCCAGCGGGCAGCAGTGGCTGTGTCCTGGACGCACTGTCGCCTCCGCACACTCACTCTGCCCTCCGGCGGAAGCAGGTACGTCTTGCACCACACGTTCAGACCCCACTCCGGGCCGCTATGCCGCCCGAGTCGGGTCCCTGCATTCCGTCACGCTGCCCCACTCCGGGTACGTCTGTGGTGCCGTTGGTCCCGCTTGCTCGGTCTCTGGGAGCTTGGCTAACGCTTCCCAGTCCGTCTCGCTGGCTCATCCGTACTGTCAGACTCGGCTATGCGATTCAGTTCGCCCGGCGCCCCCCTGTTTTCAGGGGCATCCTGTTCACCCGTGTTCTGGCGGACAGTGCCCCTGTTCTCAGAGCGGAGATTGCAGTCCTACTCCTATTGCGGTCCCTCCAGCCGATATGAAGACCGGCTTCTACAGCCCGTACTTCATTGTACCCAAGAAAGGAGGTGGGTTATGGCCAATCTTGGACCTGCGCGTCCTGAATCGGTCCCTTCACAGGCTACCATTCAAGATGCTTACGCAGAAACGCATTTTCAAATGCATCCGTCCCCAAGATTGGTTTGCAGCGATCGACCTGAAGGACGCGTACTTTCATGTCTCGATTCTCCCTCGACACAGACCGTTTCTTCGCTTTGTGTTCGAGGGACGGGCATATCAGTACAAAGTCTTACCCTTCGGGCTGGCCCTGTCGCCCCGCGTCTTCACGAAAGTTGCGGAGGCGGCCATTGCTCCCATGTGCGAGCGTGGTGTTCGCATTCTCAACTATCTCAACGACTGGCTTATTCTCGCCCAGTCGAGAGAGCAGTTGTGCGAACACAGGGATTTGGTGCTCAGTCACCTCAGCCACCTAGGGCTTCGGGTCAACTGGGAGAAGAGCAAACTCACCCCCGGGCAGAGGATCTCTTTTCTCGGTATGGACTTGGACTCGATCAACATGACAGCGCGTCTCACCGAGGCCCGCGTCCAGTCAGTGTTGAACTGCGTCAGTACGCTCAGACGCAGAACAGCGGCACCACTGAAACTGTTTCAGAGGCTCCTGGGGCATATGGCATCTGCAGCCGCGGTAACGCCGCTCGGATTGCTTCATATGAGACCGCTCCAACACTGTGACAGCCCCTCCCTGGCCCATCCCTCTGAGAGAGGACCTGCTCTCTCAGAGACGGGGCACCCTGTGGCACCCGCGTCCAGACCTCTGGAAGCTCCATGTCTGGTTCCTGGACGGGACGCGGAGGTTCTAGGTGACCTACCCCCAGCGGTAGTTGACACCATCACTTCCACTAGAGCCCCCTCTACGAGGCGCCTCTATGCATTAGGTGGAACCTATTCGTTGAATGGTGTTCTTCTCACGAGGAGAACCCCCGATCATGCTCGATCAGAGCCGTGCTTTCCTTCCTGCAAGATGGGTTGGAGCGAAGGCTGTCTCCCTCCACCCTTAAAGTGTACGTTGCCGCTATTGCCGCACATCACGATGCTGTTGATGGTAAGTCCTTGGGGAAGCATGACCTGATCGTTAGGTTCCTGAGGGGAGCGAGGAGACTGAATCCTTCTCGCCCACTCTCTATACCCTCTTGGGATTTGTCTCTGGTCCTTTCGGCACTCCAGAGACCACCCTTTGAGCCTCTGCAATCAGCTGAGTTAAAAATCTTGTCCTGTAAGACAGTTCTCCGGGTTGCATTGGCCTCTATCAAGAGGGTAGGGGACCTACATGCTTCTTCGGTCGACGAATCGTGCCTAGAATTCGGCCCGTATAACTCTCACGTGATCCTGAGACCCCGGCCCGGATACGTTCCTACCACCCAAGGTTCCTACCACTCCCTTCCGGGACCAGGTGGTGAACCTGCAAGCGCTGCCTTTGGAGGAGGCAGACCCAGCCCTGGCTTTTCTCTGTCCCGTCCGCGCTCTGCGTTTGTACGTGGACAGAACGCAAAGCCTCAGGACCTCAGACCAGCTCTTCGTCTGTTACGGAGGCCAGCAGAAGGGAAAGGCTGTCTCCAAGCATAGGATGGCCCACTGGATAGTGGATGCCATCGCCTTGGCTTACGAAGCCCAAGGCGTGCCTTGCCCGCCCGGGTTGAGAGCCCACTCCACTAGGAGTGTCGCTTCTTCTTGGGCGCTAGCACACGGCGCCTCGCTGACAGATATCTGTAGAGCTGCGGGTTGGGCAACACCTAACACGTTCGCTAGGTTCTATAGCCTACGTGTTGAGTTTCTTCCTGTGTGCTCGCTTCAACCAGCCGGTAACACCGAAGTTCCCGCTCTAGTGTCGGCTTGCTGCGCCACTCCCCTCTACGGAGCGGATACGTGCGCTCTTTTGCTCCAGTCGAGTTCCCCACCCAGGTGAACCCTGTGAGTTCCTCCACACCCCTTCGGCAGTTGGACGTTGCGGAGCGTCCGACGCCAGGCCTAGTGCTCGTATGCTTGTGTAACTTGTGCTAGGCTGGGTTCCGTATGTGTAATCCCTGCGGCGATCCCATATGAGTATTTTTCCACGATCAGCTCCCTGCGGTGAGCCCGTGTCTTTCCCTTGGCAGAGCTCGCTCTGCTGTCACTGTCTGGTGTAGCCTCCCCCTCCTTAGGTGGAGCCACCCCAGTGACATTCCATATGTTGCACTGCCCCAACCGGCCAGTCCATATGTGTATTCTCCACATGGTACCTCCCTTCGGGCAGGATGTGGCTCCGCAGCGTCCCTCTCCCCTGGAGAGGCACGCTTCCCAGTGTTATTCAAGAGTTCACTGCGTGGGTATGTGGAACAGCAGGTTCTCCCTCTACGCAGGTCTTCCGCCCCAGCATTGGGGGTCTGAGAGTCTTGCGTAGGGGACTGGATGTGGCAGCAACCGATGGCGTTTTCCATGGGATCCCCTAACGTCGTCACGTCGAACGTGAGCGACTGAAGGGGAACGTCTCGGTTACTGATGTAACCCTCGTTCCCCGAAGGAGGGAACGGGAGACGTGACGTCCCGCCGCCACAGTTGCTGACCATCGCTGTACGGCCGTCATTAAACTCGGCTCCTCAGTGAAAAACGGTGGGTGCTCGCGCCCGCTTCTGTTTTATACCCGCGCTGCGGGGCGGGGGCTCGTGACGCGTTCACGCACGCCAACGTTCATTGGCTTGTTCTTAGATACTCGAAGTTGATAGGGCTCCCTGAAGTGATCCCCTAACGTCGTCACGTCGACGTCACGTCTCCCGTTCCCTCCTTCGGGGAACGAGGGTTACATCAGTAACCGAGACGTTTTCTCTATCGTTTATCCTTCATATAATTTATTCCTTAATTTAATTTAATTTGGCTCCTCCATATATTGCCATAAAATACCATTTAGTGAGTTCGTCCATGAGTGTTCTTTTGTATAACCTTTATGTATACAGTATATCCCTATTATAAAGGATACTAAATCTTGGATGTGATGTTTAATGCTAATGCTAAAATTCATGTCTTGTCTGCAAAACCTCTTTATATGTTTCCTTCTAGGTTTCGTGGAGGGTTGGACGTGACACATGGACAGACAGGCTCTGAGTCTGTGTACCACAATTTCCACAACAAGGAGATCATGTTCCATGTGTCAACTAAGCTGCCTTACACAGAGGGCGATACACAGCAGGTACTCACCATCGCACCATCCTGTGGGTTCACTCATATCACATGTGCTTTCCTTGTTATTATTAAACGGTTCTGTGGAATACTTGATTCTGATTGGTCAATCGCGCCATCCAGCGGTATGTTATTCCTCGATAACAACCGCTGAAAACAGATAACACAGGCTCATCCGGGTTACTGAAGTCAGCAGCGCTATACGCTTGCTAAGAACAGTTTTTTCATGCAAGTTTTGCATTTGGTGAGCTAATAAAATATTAAAACTCAGTCAAATCAATATTTTGTGTACAGTTATTTAATTATGTCATCCAGTATCATGGACTGGCTCTCTCTTGTTTCATACAAATGCAGCTGCTGCCATTTTGCGACAATTGTTTTGTACACTGTTGAATTATAAGATACAAACAGGTATGATTTTAAAACAGTTTCATCTCAAATCAATACTGTATATCTCTTATCCCCAAAATGCCGTGTAATAAGTGGTATGACTGTACCGGATCCATCTAGTTTGAACTTGCCGTGCTAGCAACTGCTCTCTCCGCGGAAGCGTTGCGTTTAAAGACCTAATAAAATATTTAGACTCAGATCAATATTTCGTGTCTAATTATTTACTTATGTGGCAAGTAGCCGTGTAATAAGCGGGATAATGTACATCCAGCCGGTTGTTATCTCAGAATATCTCAAGACCTGATCATCACCCTGCCGGTGTTTATTCTGAGTTAACAACCGGCTGGATGTACATTATCCCTTTCTTAGAACCTTCAATCAGTACAAATGTTGTAAACGTTAGTATGACAAAATATAATCAGTTGTCCCTAATGATCCGTCTCTGTAGATACTATTCTGATGTAAAATAAAATAAAAAAACAAGCCACATAGGTATAAGCCACCTGGATAGACAGGAGGGGTGAAATCCATTCCTTAGCACTGTCTGGGACAGATGCTGTTTCCTGCAGCAACACACTGCTGATGTGCTGGCAGATGATTGTTGACTCACAAAGTGACCTTTATTCTGCACCTTCACTGGCAGTGCTGCGCCCTCAGAGGAAGAGTGTTTTTAGAGCTTACTCCTCAGGGAATCTTCTGCATTTAGAACACATGAACCGAGCTCCTCTCTCTCTCTCTCTCTCTCTCTCTCTCTCTCTCTCTCTCTCTTGCTGTCATGTGTGCACACACTCTGCAGTGATTGGAGGTTGACAGCAGATCAAGTTGGTGAACTGATGTTCATGTTTAAATGAGCGGCAACAACCTCTGCGTTTGTCCTTGCCAGCCATCTGTTGTGACATGTTGTGAAAAACAACTTCAGCACATGGTTTCATTGACACATAAATTCAACCTTCAAAATGAATTGAATTTATCATGAGGTGTCAGCCCGAAGAGCATTTAACGGCACTCATCGCAACTGTGGTTTTGTTTACCACATCAAATATGTTTGGGCTGGCTCATTTCATTCCTACGCATTAAAGTATGAAATGTTGAGCTACATTGTCAATATATTCATGTATAAAATATGTACAGGCTATGCACAATGTACCACATATTTGAGTGCCTTATTGATTTAATATAATAGATATTGCACACTAAAAGTATTAAAAACAAATGTTTTTCTTTCATTAAAACTGTATTTAAGCTAATTTATTATGTGGTACTATTCTTTAAAATTAAAAGTAGTGTTCTTTAGAACACTACTGTTCAAAAGTTTGGGCTCAGCATGACTTTTTTTTTTATATATTAATACTTTTTTCAGCAAATACACATTAAATTGGTCAAAAGTTGAAGACATTTATATTCTATTTTAAATAAATTGTTCTTTTGAACTTTCTATTGACCAAAGAATCCTTAAACAAATGTATCACAGTTGTCTTAAGCAGCACAACTGTTTTCAACGTTGATCACAATATGTTTTTTGAACATAAAATTAGCATATTGATTTCTGAAGGATCATGTGACACTGAAGATTGGAGTAATGACAACTGGAAATTCACAGGAATAAATAACATTTTAAAATATATTCAAATAGAAAACAGTTATTTTAAAATGTAATAATGTAGTAATATTTCTCAATATTACTTTTTAACTGTAGTGTAGGTTTGTTAAAGGTTAATTGTTGGCCTTTATGAAACTATGATGAATAGGTGTTTCATACTATATTGTGTATTTTAGCTGGAACACTGTATTGACCAATCAGCATACAGGACCCATTTTTGAATTATTCTTTGACTTGAAAGCTGCTAATCCATTAAATTTCTCAAATTCGACATGTTAAAAGTGCAGTTACATGAGGAGATTTTAAATGAAAGATTATGAAAATAAACTCTCTTGTGTCCTGTTATAGCTGCAGAGGAAGAGGCATATAGGAAATGACATCGTGGCCATAGTGTTTCAAGAGGAGAGCACTCCATTCGTGCCAGACATGATTGCTTCCAACTTCCTGCATGCCTATGTAGTGGTGCAAGTGGAAAATGCCTGTTCTGACAACGTCCTCTACAAAGTACAGTACATCATCACAGTATTACTGCAATCTAGAGCTTCTGTAACACTGTGAGTCAGTGAATGATACACATATTTGTCATTCTCCAGGTTTCGGTAACAGCGCGAGATGACGTCCCATTCTTCGGACCACCCCTCCCCAACCCAGCCATTTTTAAGAAAGTGAGTTGATTAATCTAATTTAGATGCATTGCTCTAGCAACATCAAGTCACAGGTCCAGTTCTTAAGGAATGCATTGATTAAATATATACAGTACTTAAAATGCTCTTTAAGAGGCATTTGGAAGGGAAAAGTATCTGCCAAATACTACACTGCCTTTCAAAAGTTTGGGGTCTGTTAAATTATTTTAAATGTTTTTTAAATAAATCTCTTATGCTCTCCAAGGCTGCATTTATTTGGTCAAAATACTGTAAAACAATAATATTGTGAAATATAATTTAAAGTAACTGTTGTCTGTTTTAATATATTTTGAAATGTAATTTATTCCTGTGTTGGCAAAGCTGATTTTTTTTTTTTTTTGCATCATTACTCCAGTCTTCATTGTCACATGATCCTTCAGAAATCATTCTAATATGCTGATTTGCTGCAAATAAGAAACATTTCTTATTATTATCAATGTTGAAAATAGTAACTAATATTTTTTTCAGGATTCTTTGATTAATAGAATGTTTAAAAAAAAAACATTTTGTTTGAAATGCAAAGTTCTGTCATGAAACTCTAGATGGAGCAGGCTGATAGGCCCTTAACTCAATCTGTTTGCAATCATGTGTGTGTGTGTGTGTGTGTGTATATATAGTATACACTCACCGGCCACTTTATTAGGTACCCCATGCTAGTAACGGGTTGGACCCCCTTTTGCCTTCAGAACTGCCTCAATTCTTCGTGGCATAGATTCAACAAGGTGCTGGAAGCATTCCTCAGGGAGTTTGGTCCATATTGACATGATGGCATCACACAGTTGCCGCAGATTTGTCGGCTGCACATCCATGATGCGAATCTCCCGTTCCACCACATCCCAAAGATGCTCTATTGGGTTGAGATCTGGTGACTGTGGAGGCCATTTTAGTACAGTGAACTCATTGTCATGTTCAAGAAACCAATTTGAAATGATTAGAGCTTTGTGACATGGTGGAAGTAGCCATCAGAGGATGGGTACATGGTGGCCATAAAGGGATGGACATGGTCAGAAACAATGCTCAGGTAGGCCGTGGCATTTAAACGATGCCCAATTGGCACTAAGGGGCCTAAAGTGTGCCAGGAAAACATCCCCCACACCATTACACCACCACCACCAGCCTGCACAGTGGTAACAAGGCATGATGGTTCCATGTTCTCATTCTGTTTACGCCAAATTCTGACTCTAACATCTGAATGTCTCAACAGAAATCGAGACTCATCAGACCAGGCAACATTTTTCCAGTCTTCAACTGTTCAATTTTGGTGAGCTCTTGCAAATTGTAGCCTCTTTTTCCTATTTGTAGTGGAGATGAGTGGTACCCGGTGGAGTCTTCTGCTGTTGTAGCCCATCCGCCTCAAGGTTGTGCGTGTTGTGGCTTCACAAATGCTTTGCTGCATACCTCGGTTGTAACGAGTGGTTATTTCAGTCACTGTTGCCCTTCTATCAGCTCGAACCAGTCTGGCCATTCTCCTCTGACCTCTGGCATCAACAAGGCATTTCCGCCCACAGAACTGCCGCTCACTGGATGTTTTTTCTTTTTCGGACCATTCTCTGTAAACCCTAGAGATGGTTGTGCGTGAAAATCCCAGTAGATTAGCAGTTTCTGAAATACTCAGACCAGCCCTTCTGGCACCAACAATCATGCCACGTTCAAAGTCACTCAAATCAACTTTCTTCCCCATACTGATGCTTGGTTTGAACTGCAGGAGATTGTCTTGACCATGTCTACATGCCTAAATGCACTGAGTTGCCGCCATGTGATTGGCTGCTTAGAAATTAAGTGTTAACGAGCAGTTGGACAGGTGTACCTAATAAAGTGGCCGGTGAGTGTATATATTATGTAACAGTCTTTATTGTCATCTATGAACAATTTAATGCATCCTTGGTGAATATAATAATAAAATAAAGAAACTGACCCCAAACTTTTGAACAGTATTGTACAGTATGTAATGAAAAAAACCCCCACTAATTTCCATCCAACTGTCCTTCTCTCATTTGTTCTCCTCCTGCATTATTCCGCCTCTTACAGGGTCCAGAGTTTCATGAATTCTTGCTTTCCAAGCTGATCAATGCTGAATACGCTTGTTACAAAGCTGAAAAATTTGCCAAATTAGAGGTGAGTTGTAAGAAATCAGTGCTCATATAGTCATCACAAGAAAGACATGTTCCTGGATCAAAATCTTTTGTTGATCATAGAACAGTAATCCTGTCCAGAAACATAGTCCTAAAATCAGCGAGAAATGATAGGTGAAGAAAAATTAGCAAAAAGTGCCCCTATTATGCTATTTTAAAGGCTCCTAATGTTGTTTTGGAGTCTCCCACAACATTTTTACATACATCAAAAGGTACAAAAACATAATATACTTTGCACATCACCACATTTTTCAATGATTCTCAAACAACTCGACAGATTAACTCAACTTCAGCTCAGAAGGCTTCCTCAGTCCTCCACGATTGTACACTCTTTAAAGACAGTAACGATGGCGTCGATTTTACTATATAAATTCAAGCGCGAGTCCGATGATGAACATTGGAAGAACTAGTTATTCAACCCGAACCTCCAATGCAAGGACGACTCGAGCAGAGTCTTGTTTCTCAGTGATACACTACTCAGTTTGAGGTACATTATGAGATGTTGCAACTGTAATTCCTCACCATCAGCATTAACAAGTGTATGTCCATCAACAAACTGATGTGTATATTTAAAATGTATTGCGGTGCACATAAATGAATGAATGAAGCATTTATATAGCGTTTTCATATTTACTACTGTACACCCAAAGCGCTTTACAATCATATCAGGTAATCTCTCCTCAACCACCACCAGTTATTCATACTTAAAAGTTTTGATTCTGAGGAGCAAGCTGGTCAATATAAACTAAGTACTGACTGATCTTTCAAGAGCGAGCGTTGTGCGAATCCCGCATTTAACTCTGAGCAGTCTTCAGTAAAATTACACGTTCGCGGGCGGACAACATACAACATAGGCTGGCATTATGCAAATGTCTTATCTAGTGACATAGAATCGTAAAGCAGTGGGATTCAAATTACAGACGACTCGTACAGGCGGTTCAGAGTCGATTCTTTCTGTTTGGAGACAATAACTTTGTTGATCGTGCACTTTCGATCGTGCACTTTACAACTTTGCAGAACTTTTACATTCACAAACAGCTATATTACGCACTGCATGAAAGGGAATATTCGAAAAACCATAATTGGGATACGTTAACTTTAAACCTATCCCTTAAATCTGATTGGTTGATTGGAATGTTGTTCCAGGATCAAAAAGGATGTGATCCAGGAACGTTTTACTTCACATTCACTCATAGAGCAAGACACATGCAACACCAAGCTAATGGGTTAAATTCCCAGGAAAATGTGATGTTGATAAAGTGTATACCTTGAATGTAATTTAAGGTATATGCAGCATATAATGATATATAAAGCATAAAACAAATGCATACTGCTGCCTCATCTAACATTCATTTTTTACTCTTTATATTCAAATGCAATAACCCTTTTTGTTCCTAGGAGCGCACCCGGTCTGCCCTGCTGGAGACGCTGTATGAGGAGCTGCACATCAACAGTCAGGCCATGATGGGGTTGGGAGGAGAGGAGGACAAACTGGAGAATGGAGGAGGAGGGGGAGGGGGCTTCTTTGAATCTTTCAAGGTAATCCACGAGGACACCGGGCTCTGGCGGTCTCTGTGAGGGCACTTACTGTACATCCAGAATAGAGGAGGATAGGGATGTTTGTGAAGCATTACTGTGGCTTGTGTGTGAATGGTGGACGTGGTGTATTCTGGTTGTTTTACAGTCATGTTAGCACTCATGAATCTTTAAAGGATGTGAGATGAGTCGTTCGCTCAGATTGTCTTTTTTGATCTTGCTGCTGTTGTTCTAAATGAACGGTAGCATTATTTTCTCTCTCTTGGGATTTAGATGGTGCCCCCTTTATGACTCCAGCTGCCAAGTGATGTAACCAATGCTACCTAAATTAAATCACTCATTACCATAATTTACACTAATTAGTCCTATTAGCACATTGTTGAACATAGATACACTCATGAGAATTATCTTGGGCTCTACACTATTTTGCTTCCTAAAATACTTTGCAAATGAATCAGTAGTACATGATTAATCATATCGTACACAGATATTTTCTAACATGTAGAATTATGCGTGATGAGTATATAGTAGTGTTATTTTAGTATCATTAAGATTTTTTTAATATATTTTGAATAAGATTTTATTTTTGTATTTTCTGTTGTCATTTTAATTTTAGTTAAAGTTTTTAAATTGTGTCGTAGGTCTGTATAGTTTTAGTACATCAAGTTAAACTAACTGAAAATGAGAAATGTTGCTTTGGCAACTAGCTGAAATAAAATATTTTTTAAAATGTATTGTATTTCAAGTAACGGAAATGTTTTTTATGGTTTTAATTAACTATAATAACCCTGGTATATAGAGGTTATGGTCACACTTTAGATTAGGGTTCAATTCTCACTATTAACTATTACTTTTGCCTCAATAAACTCCTAATTACTGCTTATTATTAGTTAGAAAGACAGTTGTTAAGTTTAGGTATTGGGTAGGATAAAGGTAAAATATGGTCCTGCAGAATAAGGCATTAATATGTGCTTTATAAGTACTAATAAACAGCCAATTTCCTAGTAATATGCATGCTAATAAGCAACTAGTTAATAGTGAAAATTGGACCCTAAACTAAAGTGTTACAGAGGATATTATTCAAGATGACAGAATTTTCTATGCCCATATAATTCATTATAGACAGACTGTTTGTATGTGCTCGACAGCCTGGTTTACAATTGAATGTGTCCAGTGGTGTTCACGCATTGATTGTGGTCATCCAGACATAAAAATCTATCAGATATCTCATAAATCATTTTCATTATCTCTTTTAACCCATTTTATTTGCTTCCGCAACCACTCATTCACACAGTTTTCTTCAGCAGCTGTCTGTAGACAAACACATTAGCATAAATTATGTTCTCCAGCTCTTCTGTGGTTGTGGCATTCTGGGAGTTTTCCCTTAAAATCGGGCAGCACTTTAGCGGGTGATGTTTAATCAATATCCATTCACACTCTTACACAGCTAGCTTTGGTAGCTCTTAGCCATCCTTTCAATGACTTCCTGTGCTCAGGCTTCATGTCATCCTTCTTCCCTCTAGCCACATGCTTTTTCTTTTACGGACAAAACTACACTCTCTCCTCACCTGTGGTTCACTCAGGTGTTGCTTGAGTCGTTTTAGCAACTTGATTGATTGGCTTCAGACCCACTCCATTGGCCCACCCTGACCTGCCGCTGCTCACCGTGTCTCCTCCTCATCTCTCCCTGTGCTGTAGCGGGTGATCCGCAGCAGGAGCCAGTCTCTGGACACCATGGGCCTCAATATCAGGAAGTACACAGTCTCCAATAGTCACAGCGGCAGTTTCACCCACAACAACATCAACCACCTCTCACCAGAGACCCCCAAAACCCCTGGGATAGTAAGTAACCCCCCTACAGGCTTCCCAATGGGCAAAACTATGCTAGTCCCCTCACTACCCTCCACTATGAGGTAAAAACCCAGTCCTGGTTACACATACTTAACTAATTCCTGACTACACTGAACCTTAAGCACATGCACAATGTTCAGAGTTGCCGAACTAAAGACAAACAACTCAACAAAGGCGAAATATTTCATGATTAATCAACCAACCTCAACCTTAATAAGTGCCCTCATGCACGAGTCCCTTTTTTCCTCATTCCCATCATGCTTTTTTTTGTCATCTCTACAGCCACTGATATTCTCAGTCTGTATTTCACTGGAATCTTTCACTTATTACAGTTGAGTTTACCTCAGGAATGTTTCTTGAAAAGATCACTTAATTCACTGGCCTTGCTCATGTGCGCTGCTCTAGCAACAGTCAATATTTCCTGAGTTAAAAGGGTCAATGACAAAAGTACATTTAAAAAGCCATTCATATTCAATACACCTCTTTTATGATGAGCATGTTTTTTAATCTCTATTAAAATGATTTTTTATAAAAAAATGTCAGGGTGATACAATTGTCCTGATTTTTTTTTCATCATGAAAGAATTGCCTTAATAAAATTCTTGAAAAGAAAACTTAACTTGACATGAACATGAACTTGAGGTCCTCTTATAATGTTAGCATTTTTATCCAGATTTTTACATTAAAAAAACATCCTAATTTAGAAGTAATAAGCTATTTTCTATCCTGTTTTATATTTTAACAAAACCGCTTACTAATATGTAAAAAAATAATTAAATGTTAAATTATTTAAATTAATTCATTATTATTTAATTTAAAGACCCTTATGGCTGTATTTTTTTAGATCAATAAATATCTTAAAATATCAGATAAGATTAGTTCAGGTTGCAAAATGTGATTAAAAATTTAAAAAATATATATACATATTATATTTATGAATAAACAATTTGTGATATTCATAAAAAATAAAATATTAGTTTTACCTTGAAAATATATATATTTAAAAAACCTTTTTGAAAATAATAATGATTGGATCACATGACATTTTTTCAAGTCATTAAATTGAAAAGTTTTTCAAATCCATAACGAATACATTTTTGAGAGAAGTTTTAAAATAGTTTTTATTTTTTTAAGTATAAATATGTCATTGACCCAAAAGCATGTTACCTGAATTTGAGTTTTCCCCAGAGAAGACTGTTACTCATTTAACCGCTCTGTCATCACAGGAGGTGTGTGTGTGTGTGTGTGTGTGTGTGTGTGTGTGTGTGTGTGTGTGTGTGTGTGTGTGTGTGTGTGTGTGTGTGTGTGTGTGTGTGTGTGTGTGTTATGGTGGAGATGGGGTCCTTTGAGAGGTGCATGATATAAAGTTATGAATGTGTTGCATGTTGCTCATGGGGGAATGAAATACTGTCAGATAGTCTACAAGGGGTGATGTGAGATTTTATTTAGTTATTTTCCTTCCAGTGTCTCTCAGGAATGAATATTATCTGATCTAGATGTAGGATAAGGTGGCCTGCCAGCAATGTCAGTATAAAGACAGTTGTGAATGTTTTGACCTATTACACCCCCCACAGGATCAGCCTCACATCAGCACCACATAAGGACCTGCAGAGAGAATGATATATATGTGTGTGTGTGTGTGTGTGTGTGTGCGCGTTGAATGGATTCTGCTGTGCTAATGTTTTAATATGCAGGTGTGCTGTCGGTAAGTATGGTTATCGCACAGGATAAGTGCAGAGACAGAGTTCTTCGGCCAGACAGCTCTTGCTCCATCAAGCGCAGTGGCTCTTATGGTGCTGCTCCTTGCCCTGGGGACTATCACACACTGAGGGCCATGCTAAGTCATGCCAGTGCCCCTCGTGAGCAAAACTCATATGAGCCTAGTGAAATCATGCTGGAACAGACTTCAGAGTTACTGAGCCATGCCTCTGTCACAGTTAATGTTTCTGTTATTTATAGCACTATCATATGCCACGTCAGTCAAATTAACTTTTTTGACCTTCACAGCAGGTTACACAATGGATAATATAGACCATATTTTGACTATTGGGACTTCAATCCCAAAGCTTAGAGGTGAAAATTAGAAATTGCGTAAAGTGATTCATCCCCCTATGGTGATTATGTTATAACAGCCAGGGCCATCGATGCGGGGGCCCCGTAAGGTTCCTGTGACCGTTCTCAACTGGTTTTACTTCAGGACAATATATTAAAGTATATGTCCAAGTGTATTGGACATCAAGTTACACCCCAACACATACCAAAATTATCTATCATAATCAAGTAAATAAAAACATGCTTACAATCACACCGATACTGAAAAAATTCATAAATCCACCAAATATCAAAATTGAGGGAAAATTAATAACATAAACAAGAATTATGGATAGTAAAATTGACAGTGTTGTAAATTATCTTTTTTATTTTAATTGTTAAAATTGTATTTGTATTTTTATAAATCTTTATTTTATTGTATTTTTTTACTTTTATTTGTATTCTTCGAACAAATTTATTTTAGTGTGAATAGAAACGTCCTCAAAATCCCAATGGAGCTGCAGTGTGCATTAATCCAACAATATGCGAAATTAATAACAATGTAACAAACTGTATAGCGACAGTTTGTAAATTCTGTTTACTTTACTTTAACAATCCAATTTCGGATCATGACCCACCAGTTGAGAACCAATGATCTATGATACAATCTGAGGGAAAAAAAATGTTTGAATTATTGCGAGTTTTAGCATATCAACAGGTCCAATTAAATAGAGCTCTGTTACAAATAACATTGCATTAATGTTTATTTAACAGCATGATGTATAGGAATTTTCTCGTCTGACTAACCTGTTCCAATAATGTTAACCTGACTAACTGTTAAACCGTGTTGAAATGTCAACTGTCCCATTGTCTCCAATGGTGTACTGTGTGCTACTACTTTTGCTTTCTTGTACTTCACAGGTCCCGGGACCTGCTGAAGTTCCTCCGGCCCTTTTCTCCTCATGTGGCTACCTCTGTTGTGCTTATGACAGCTTTTTTCTTCCTGTTCATGCTCCCTCTAACAGATGTCTGTAGCCTATGTTGTTTGTATAACACAACCTGCTGCATGGACTCATAATTTCTCTCGTTCTCTTTCTCTCTTTCTCTGTGGGCTCTGTGCAGTCATTGCTTGTCCCAGGCAAAAGTCCCAGTAAATATGGACGGCGTGGCAGTGCCATAGGAATAGGAACCATAGAAGAGGTTCATGTATAACTCTCACTCCTCTCTCGTCTGCATCATTCGCTCTCACTGCATGACCTAAACATCACTTTTACACCATACAGCTGCTGATACAGTCAGTGAGAGCCCCTTTAACTCTCTGTTCTCAATGCACTCATCCTAACAATATAAAAATAGGATTATGGAACTTCATAGGCAGGGCTGATGCCATATTTAATCTTACTCAAATAAATACGAGGATTTGAGGGATAGATGCAAATTCAGATTAATTGTTTGCACTGTTTATATTTTTTAGTACTAACTGTTAAAAGTGAGATTTTTTGTTTGTCCACTGGAAATTGTCCGGAAATACATATTTTCAATGTTTTGTCAGCTACAATAGACACCAGTGTGTGCACAGCAACACACCTATATGTTTCCTATTGAATATGGCATTTACCTTGATTACATCTACGAGTCTACAACTAACATTATAATGACATCTTTTTCGTTTTAATTTATTGTTATTTAATTTAGTTTATTTATTCCATTTTATTTCATTTTTAATTTGTTGCAATAATAAATTATGGCAGATACCAATAAGCTGATATTAATATTCTATATAATATTTTTTATGGCAGATAACCGATAAATGTCTATATTAAAATGCTATACTATTTTGTCTGAATAAATAAAAATAGTTAAATAACAAACAAAAAAAAATCAATCATTTTAAAAGCTACAAGTGAATTTAAAGACCATAAAATTATGGAACATTGATATTAATTTTGAGATTTGCTAAGTATTACATTGTTAAATTAATTATTATTTAGAGGTTACGGTGAACTTTAGGTGAGCTTTAAATGATGAAAAAGTTCATCTAACTGTAAAAGAAGAGGAAATGAGCATGCACAAATAAATACCCAATATCAGCCAATAACAATAAATAACAATACCTTTAATATCGGCCAATAACTGATATGGAACCGATATATTGTGCATCCATCATTTTAACAGTTGTTCCATGCAGATCTATCCAGTCTTTCTAAACACACCATATCCTACTGTCTGTAAGCATTGTTCAGTCAGAGAGTCATTTTGCACATTTTTATATCCATTAGCACTGTTCTTTATAATGACCCATGTACATATAGATTCATCCACATTTAGCAGCATTATTTCAGTGTTTCTTCACAGCTCCCCTTTCAGCATCACTTCCTGTGTGTAATGCATTGCTCTGCTATGTTTGAATGTCCAGTGTCACTTCTTGTCATGTGGTGTTGTGTACTATTTTGGTCTATTTCTACCCCCTCGTCTGATATTTGTACACTCTTTCCGAGCTAATAGTGTAGAAACACAAAAGAAAAAGGCAACAGAGTCTTTCCGAAGCCTTTGAAGCCATTTTAGATAAAAGCCTTTTTTTGAAGGCCTTTCATTTGAAGTCATAAAGCAGTAGCTGTAAAATCCCAGCGCTCAGGCTTGAAGAGAACAAAGTGTCCCCAGCGAGAACACAGTCGACCAGTGAAGCTCAGGAGATCCTGCTCCCATCTTTCATCTCCAAACCCTGAAGCACACACTTCACATCAACCTTGCCAGTCAAACTACGAAACAGTGTCTTTTGTTCTCACAAAGACTGGACCACGCCACAGATATAAGAAATTACAGACCACAATTGCAAGTGGTATAAAATAGACCTGTCCTATACAGGATGTAATATCTTTAAAGTTTCCTTTGAGACCACATGGTGGCCATCAGAGTGTGAAGGTGATATCTATATGTTTGAATCCTCGGCTCACTGAACTTCTTGTTCCCTCCCACAGTCTTTGATCATTCCTGGAAAAAGCCCAACTAGGAAAAAGTCAGGACCCTTCAGCTCTCGGCGTAGCAGCGCTATCGGCATTGAGAACATCCAGGAGGTCCAGGAGAAAAGGTAAGAGGATGAGAACACTTCTGAACTTGTGGAGCATTACTGTATCACAGATTCAGACAGTACTGGTTTCAAGACCTAGTGACCCTTGTGCATACACCTGCTTGCAGAAGAAAGGTCTTCTGTGAAATTCGTGCACACACTACCATTTGAAAGTTTGGTTTTCAAAGAAAGTGATACTTTTATTCAGCAAGGATGCATTAAATTGATCAAAAGTGACAGCAAAGACATTTGTAATGTTACCAAAAAAATAAATAAATGCTGTTTTTTTTTCTACTCAAAAAAGTATCATGGTTTCCACAGAAATATTAAGGCACAACTGTTTCAACATTGATAATAATAAGAAATGTTTCCTGAGCATCAAAACAGCATATTAGAATGATTTCTTAAGCATCATGTGACTGAAGACTGCAGCAATGGCTGCTGAAAATTCAGTTTTGCCATCACAGGAATAAATTACATTTCATTACAATTTATATATTGAAAAGTTATTTCAAATTGTCAAAATATTTTACAATATTACTGTTTTTATTGTTTGTTTTTTATATATATATCAAATAAATGAAGACTTGGTGAGCATAAGAGACTTTCAAATATATATATTTTTAAATCTTACCGACCCCAAACTTTTGAATGATAGAGTTTGTGTGTGTTTTGGCGAGAGCAGGACTCAACAAAAAGAATGACTCGATGGCTTGGGCCAGTTAAAGAGAGTTATTAGGCTGGTTGATGAAATTGTCAGTACTGACAGAATCGATATGTTCCAACAATGTTCATCATTTATTAATCATGCACATGTACATGCAAATTAAAAACAAAATTTTTAGAGATATATATTTACCTCTTTTTGAGAAAATTACATTTGATAAAAATATAGGCAGAACATAAAGCATAATATTACACTGAACTCCTTCCTTTTATGTGTGTTTATGTGTTTGATGAAGAATTGCCGCTCTGTTGTCAGAGGACAGGACAGTGCTCTGTCTCTCTCTACCCAGCGTCACTCTCAAGAATGGGAGGCTCATCGTGGATCCCTCCAAGTATAAATGCTACCATAGAATGCCACCTCTTTAACCATAGACTAGCTGCTTACCTTACCTGGCCATAGAAATGCATCTGAAATGCTATGAATTAAGCACATTCAACTGGTCGCACATGCAAAATCAACATGCTAGCTGATTGGTGGTCTGCTCATTTTTCAGCCAATCAAATGTCTGTTGTACGGATTTTGCATGAGCTGGCCTTTGTCAAATGTGCTTTAATACTTACAGGCCCCTTGAATGATGTTGCTCTGAACTCATGTGTTTCAGTGTAGTGATGTGAATCAGCATGTATTGTTGTATCTAACCAAACCTAATTTTTAGTTGACTGCAGTTGAGCTTGGACTCCTTCACCTCATGGTTGACTTGTAGATTTGCAAACATAATGCTAATGCTGCCCTCTAACGGTCAGTGTGTGTGTGTGTGTGTGTGTGCGTTAGTAGGGAGAGCTCCCCCAGCACACAGAAGACTCCTGACAGTGGCCACGCCTCCCAGGAACCCAAGTCTGAAAACTCCTCCAATCAGAGCTCTCCTGAGGTCCTCGTCACTAAGAACAGGTAAAGTGAAAAGTGATTATATGATTTGCTCACATTTATCAGTGAGGATCAGAAATGTAAAAAAAATATCTACTTGACTTTACTGGAAAAATATAGTTATTTTAATTCAGCCAAGAGGTCATACCGTGACGTATCGATCTTCTACTGGTCACACGTCTTCACGTGATGCGAATTCGCAGGTCAGAGCTCACCAAACTTGAACTTTGGAACGCAGCGAAATGTGAAGCTTTTCGCATTAGCTTGCGTTTTCAGTCTGACCCATTGAATGGAAGTCAATTGAACGAAAAGTGCAGTTTGACCGCCCTTTAAGCAGTTGACTAATCACAACAGACTAGGCCTCCTAACCAATCAGAGCAGACTGGGCTTTTTTTCAGAAACGCAAGCTTTAAAGAGGCAGGGACTAAAACAGAGCGTTTCAGGCAGAGGGTGAAAAGAGGTGCTGCAGCAATGTATGGCATGCAAAAGAATATTCTAGTAAACCCCAAAAATAAAAATAATGAATTTGTAAATAAGCATAATATTTACACTTAAAACATTTTTTTATTGTGTGTTGTGTCAAAACAAGCTTGAATATTTTTTTCAAATTATGCAAAAGTGAAAAATATTATTTAGTTGTGTGTATTTGGGTACTCAAAATGCTAGCTAACTTGTAGCTATGTTGTGGAAATGTTAATGACCACTGTTAAAATTGTCCACTGTTGGACATCAAACTAAACTAGTGAGAGTGTGAAAATTTCCACAAGGCCAAAATGGCCCACAGTTGAAGAAACACCCTATTATTATTACAGATTCCACTGTATTTACCAGTAACTTTGTTTTCTTTACTTGCCAAAGTCAGCTTTTACTCACATTTGGTGCTTGGTAGGTTGTGCATTTTGGGGGATGTAAGTGATCTGACAGCAAGAACTATGGAAGTTTCATGCTTGTTATGTGTGAATGCATTAAGAGCAGGTTTTTATTTGTTTGTATGTGTGTGCAGTTCAAGCATTTACAGCCGGGCTCCGTCCATTCCTGAGGCTCATGACCTGTCCCGCTCCTCCTCTAATGCCAGCAGCTTTGCTAGTGTGGTAGAGGAGAACGAAACAGAGGCTACAGAGGACTATGACACCGGCATGGTGAGAACAGCACATTAATCGTTAATGCATTACAAGTAATAAACATCTCTAGAAACACTTAAACAAACTTCATATGTATTGTAAGTATGTCTAGAGCAATATGTTGAATTTGTTCCATTCAGGAGAGTCTGTCATCAGCAGATACTCCTCATAAACGAGACTCTTTGACATACAGCACATGGCTTGAGGACAACATGAGCACTACCAGTACAACCAGTAGGGAGAGCTCTCCTGGTGAGAGAAATAAGCTGTACAAAAGAGTTTCATTCACACAATATATTTGTGTTAGCAGTGTAGTGTTTGTGTGTCTTTCTATATAGTACATTTAATTATTTTTCCAGCCCCTGGCAAAACTCAACAGCAGGATGGTGTAAAGAACCAGGAGCAGAACCGTACAGACATTCGCATCAAACTTGAGCGACCGCATGACCCCAAATCCACATCGGTGAGTCTTTGCTTTAAGTGTTGTATCTGCATGCAGATTTAAGTGTGTAAATGCATGCAGTTTGCACATAAAGAATGACAGCTTCTCAAGTATTGGGCAAGTAAATGTACTTTGCCATTCTTTATTTCTGTCTGTGTCTGTTGTAACTCTGTGACTGTCTGTGCAGAACTGCTAGCCTCTCCTGCTTGACTGCCTCATGGACATCCATCAACAGGTTAGATAAACTGTTATCTTGACTGAATCATTTTTTTTCATCAACTGAATATTACAGGCTGGTCTATTGTATTGCCTATATTATATTATTAAGACTTAAGTTATGTTAAAATGTTGTCATTACTTGCTCACCCTCAAGTTGTTCCAACCCTGTATGAGTTTCTTTCTTCTGTTGAACTAAAAAGAAGATATTTTGAAGAATGTTGGTAACCAGACAGTTGACGGTGGCCATTGACTTCCATAGCAGGGGGGGAAATGACTGTTAGACACAGACATTCTTCAAAATATCTTCTTTTGTGTTCAGCAGAAGAAAGACACTCATACAGGTTTGGAACAACTTGAGGCTGAGTAAATAATGACAGAATTTAAATTTTTGGGTGATTTTTCCCTTTAAAAACTATTAACTATGCTAAATTATAAAGAATTAATACTAATCACAACATTAATGTGTCTCTGAGACATGAGAAATTGTCTTTTTTTACTCTGAACATTATCATGCAATGCATTTATAATTAATAGTATACTGTACAATTATTGTAAACAGTGCATTTATAATTTACAGAATATTTCTGTTTTAAATAAATGCTATCAAATCAAATCAAATCCAAATTAAAATCCATCATATAAAATAAAATCCATCAAATAAAAATGTATCACAGTTTCTGCTTTAAAAATCCGCTTTGCTATTACAGGAATACATTAAATTTTAAAATATATTAAAATAGAAAACTTGTTATTTTAAATTATAATAATATTTAACAATATTATTGTTTTACTGCATTTTTGATCAGCCCTAAATGCAGCCTTGGTACTTGGTGAGATTACTTTTAAAAAAGCATAAGCCGCTTTTTCACCATTGGGCTAAAGTGTTCTCTTCGCGTAACCATCTCATTCCGTGCCGATCCAGCCCAGCTTGATAACGGAGCTTTTTGGAATGTAATACAAATGCGCCAGTTGTTTGCCTTGAAAACAAAATGAGATCCGTTGTGGAGGATGATCAAATATTTCTTTTAATTTGATTATTAATTGTGTTTATGTTGCTTAAATAGCGCACTCAGCCAGCTACAGAGACATTGGTAGGCATGCAACAGACAAGTGACCAATCCTGAGTGGCGACGTCACTTCTTAGAACAGTTCGGCCCAGTGGTGGAAAAGCGGTGTCAGTGGCCTGATTATTGTCTCACATTATTGTTTGAACAGCATTTCCATTAGAAACACCTTAGAGAGACAAGGAGAGCTCGGGTTACTTGATGAAGAAGAGGACGATGACACCAGTCAGCTGCATGAGTGACAACGTGTATGGCCCGAAACCACGATCATGTGACCATGCCTCCATCAGGACACTCACTACCCTCGCAGACTTGACTAGAAATAGGAAGGAGTTGGATAGGCAGTCAGAAACTGTGCATTAGCCCTCCTTCAGACTTGTCCTTAACCCCCTTGTGAGTACATCAGTAAATGAATGAGAACCTCCTCTGTAGCAGTGTCTAATGACATGTCATTGTGCGGATGAGTGGCTAAACTAGCAGGTTGTTTGAGGTCCTAACACTGTGCTAAAATTCAGTTCTGTGAAGTTTTTCTCCTCAAGGACATTTTACCTGCTTGCACGATGAAAGCATTTTCAGCCCTGTCCCAAATGGTGGGCTGTGCAACAGGGCGCATAGAGCATCCTTCTGAAACCTAAAATGACAAATGGGACTTGCTACGGTCATCGCACATCTGCAAGTACAGTACACATCAAATGCACTATTTGGGACAGGGTCATTTCTCATATTCTGATATTATTGATGTTCTTTCAGTCAGATTTCAGGTGTAAAACCCCTTGATCTAATGTTTATAACAGCTGTGCAATACATCTTTTGACATTATTTAAGAGTAACTCCACTCAAAAACTAGTAAAAAAAAGCTGTTTTGTGAATTTCAGTTCAGTCAATGCATAGTATTTTGAGTCGCGGTGCACCGATATTAAAAATATATCTGATAAGCTGCTAATTATTTTCATGTTATGACAGGTATTAAAATTCTATACTTATTTGTAAAGAAACAACAAATAAAAATAAAATGTAACTTTTTAAATGCTACTAAGTAAGGTATCACAGCATTATAATGTGCAGTATAAAATTGGATATTCTTTTTGAAATTGTTTTTAAAGATTCATTTTAAAGTGCCCCTATTATGCAATTTTGAAGTTTCCTAATGTTGTTTTGGAGGTCTCCTACAACAGGTTCACATGCATCTAAGGTAAAAAAAAAACGGTTTTTCACCACATTTTTCAATGATTCTCAAACGACTCGTCAGATGAATCAGTCTCTCTAAATCCCTCCTTTCCGCGAGCTACTCTGCTCTGATTGGCCAGACAGCTCAGTCTGTTGTGATTGGTCTACCGCGTACAGCGCGCGTATCGAAAACAAAAACGCCCAGCAATTCTACACCATAAACTAAAGACAGTAACGAACAATGATGTCGATTTTACCATATCAATCCGAGTGCGAGTCTGAAGATTTAACATTGGAGGAACTAGTTATTCAACCCGAACCTCCATCGGAAGGACGACTCGAGCAGGACATTTCTCACTGATACACTACTCAGTTTGGGGTACATTATGAGATGTTGCAACTGTAATTCCTCACCATCAGTATTAACAAGTGTATGTCAACAATGTATCAACAAACCAATTATTTTACTTACACTTATTTATTTACATTTATTTACATATTTTTCTAACATATTGCGGTGAACGTGGGAACTGTATCAATAACAGTGCATACTCTAGCGTGAACGACTGATGTAACATAAACGTTGGTAAAACAAATCTTGCTCCATGCTTAATCTTTCCTCAAAGTAGTGAGAACGACAGACAATCTGCATTAATAGTGCGCAATAAGTGGGCGGGCAATATGCTAATGTTTCGTCTTGACGTCACGTTTGAAAAGCGATTCATTTAATTGACTCGGAGTCGACTCTTACTTTTGAGAGACAATAACTATTATACGGTGCACTTTCAGATTTAAAACTTTGCAGGATGTTTTCATTCACTTAGAGCTATGTTACACGCTACATGAAAGGTATTTTTAACTTTACTTTAAGTGAGCGTTACTTGACAAAGGTTATCTAAATGTACAAATAAAGGAAAAAAGCAATTATACAAATTATACATCCAATAAAACAATTATACATCCAATATTGGCCAGTACTGATATTTAAAAATTCTAATATCAGCCAAAAACTGATATGGTACTGATTCTCAATAATGTGCATCCATAGCTCTTTATTTATAGCACATAATTATTGGTGAGATTTTCTCATGTTTAAGAAACTGGAAAGTGCTGTTACTCTTAAATAATGTATCTATCTGCCATTATCACTTGTGCATGGAGAAATGGGGCATTTAATGAGTGTGAGTCAAAGAAAATATTCACGTTTGGTGAAGTGTGAGAGACGCCCTCTGAATATATTACATGATACATTGCAGATGCCTTACCTTACCCTCAAACAGATAAGAAATTCAGCCGTCAGTGTTACAACAACAGTGAGCTAACATACTAATTCAGCTCAGTTTTCTGACCAGCTGACTGTAAGTCATGGTTTATGCTCAGCTTTGATGCACCAGTTCGACATGTTGATTGTTTATCTGTTTGCCACATAAGCAGCTTGTGATAAATAAAAAGCTGCGATGTCTTGAGTTTCATCTTTAGTGCGGCATTCCTTATTTTTTCGAACTGTATAAAAATCCCTAGTGGAGATTCTTTCTTTATGTTGACTCAATTCAAACTGGCTATTCTTTGCTTTGCGCTTGAACATACAGATGGTTTAATGTTTGAGCTGTGTGCCAAGATGCCAGTCCTCTTTTACAGACTTGTGAGTTTAACAAATGTGCTGTTGCTAATCTATAAACCAATCATTAATGCCAAAAATCAGTCAATGTGATGTTTGCTCTTTCTGTTAAAGGCAAAAAGCATTGAATGGAGCCTAAATATGACAGAGTGGTTTGGAGTTGCCTTACTCTAAGTGTCAAAATATATGAACAGGAAAACTTAGCAGATTATTTTGTAATCTATTTCTGATAAATGATTGGCCTTTCTGGCTTCCATTAAACTGCCTTTATACCGCCCCTCGTCCTACACCATTAAGATGTAATGTAGCCTAGTCGTCATTACTGATCCATGTTTGTTTTATACAGTTCCCATAATTGATCCGTCCTGAAGGCATACTCGGACATTGGCTCTGTCTGAAACCTGAAAACTAAGTTGCAGGCAATATACTAAGGTAAGAAAGGCAGAAAGGTGCATCCATATCCAATATTTGTGCAATATTTTGTCTAAGCTGCCATCAGATTTTGAAGGCAGTACAGATGTGTCCTTTTTTGCCAACAATACTCCACAAACCTATATATATATATATATATATATATATATATATATATATATATATATCATTAAATGACATTAAGGCCTTGGGAGCCTATCTGAAAGCAGATTCATTATGCCTGTGAAGTCTTTGACTGACTAGGCAGCTGAGGTTTCAGACACAGCCAATATCGCGGCTAAAAGGCTGGACATCATCACAACAACTACAAAGAATTGCTAACACTATAACTAAAACCCCTTTTGGAACAGTTGTGTATCAATAAAAAACAAATATGTTTGAAATAATGTTTTAGTCTGCTTTTGTTGGCTCTGCGCAGGGCTTCTGTGCCCCATTGTGGTGAGACATGATTCTACCATTATTTGCAGTGTCCAATCTGTCCATGTACATGACTGTAATTTGCTGTTCCTGTGCGGAAGTCAAATTTGTCTGGGGAAACAAAAAAGATGCAGCACAAAATCCATGCTGATGACAGGGTATGAATTTTTAGACATTGTTATGCTTTCCTTTGAGCTGCTGCTTCTGTGACCTTTTCCTGTGCAATCATCATTGTAAATACTGCTTTTTTTTGTACATACTGCCCAGAAAATCTGAAACAAATAAACTTGAGTGTGATATTTCATTGAACATGCTTGTCTGATTTCCGCTTTTCAATTTGGCATAGCTGAATGACTTGAGATATACATCAATGCTTGTCTGTTTTCTTTTAAAAGCTTTTAATTATAGTATTAAAGCACAAGTATGATGAATTATTTTATGCATGTGGCCATATATGTGTGAAGTACTGTGTGTGATTCTTACTAAGCTTGAAATGGATGTGTTTTGTCAATGGACCCTTTTCACAGACTGTGATGACACGTTTCCACAGTTATCAACATCGCAAATCTAGTAAAGTTTTCTATATTTTCTTTTTTTTTTTAAATTTAATACACATTTATAATGCTATATATTGTGTTAAATTACCTAGTCACTGTCAGTAAATGACTATAAATGTTAAATGTAAATACATTATCCACACCAGCAGAGGGCAACATTTACATGATGCAAAACGTGGTCATTTCTAAAAAAAAAAGTCAAATAAAAACTAAATTCCACGATGGAAAATGCTTTATGCCGAACGTCACATGAACAAACAGGGAAACAGGTCCTCATTGCATCCGCGTGTCAGATAAAGTGTTAATGACAGTAGGCCTACGAACTGATGGTGATATCTATGGACTTTTAAGGTAACGTTAATCGGCTTCTATTTCTTTTATTTGTTGGTGTTTTATTCAGTTTACATATCAAAATGTTAGTGAGAAGAAGAAAAAATGTCAATACCAATCTGCATATGCGATGGACATCGGTTATTCTCATCTTTGCTCGTTCCTTTGAAGTTATCTTGAGTCATTAACGGCTTTATATTTTACAAAGCACATACAAAAGACCTGAAACGGAAGCAACCTGTCAGAATACGGAAGTTTGTTGCGCATAACCAGAGAATGTCATAACCCCGATTCTTCTGATGACAGCTGAGACAAATCACATCACTATGTCCAATTCATTTGTGCATCAAGTTTAAACATGATACAATAACAAAATCAAAGGCAACCTTTTATCTACTAAAAAATGTGAACCAAGGTTGAAACTGGATAAAAGTGTTATTGAGTGAGTCTGACTGCAATATTTTATTGAGCATTATGCCATTGTTGTTACTTTTAACTAAAACTATCATTTTTGGGTAATTGATATAAAGCTGAAATACAATATACAAATATTATATGAAAAGCTTTCAAATAAATAAAAAATATTACAAATGGTGTCTTGACAACTAAACTGAATGTCAAAGTACTAAAATGACTAAACCTTGAAAATGAACACTGAAAATATAAAAAATTAAAAGCTAATCGTTCAAAATAATGATAAATACTACAACAGTAGACAAATAATACAAAAATTATTGCATCACACAGGATACTTTCACTATAATGATATGATGTTTTATTAAAGTTCGGGAGGAACACGTTCAAATAATCTATCCAATAAACACGTCATTTCAATCAGCAATTAACATGTCCATCCAATCAGCAAGAGAGGAGGCCTATATATAGGGAGGAGTACTCTGGGTTCAGGCCACATTCCAAGCTCGGAGCCCTCTACTCGGACAGTAGCCTACGCCAAATACGCCTACTCTTTACTCTATCTTATTTATAAGTGTGAACTCGTGAATCATTGATTAAATACTTGTTCCCATATCCACTGGGTCAAAGGTGGGATGTTGATGCATGCATGTGGACTGATGTCAGACACAGCTGGTAAGGTGTGAGGGTGGCCATGAATCAGAGTTTGGAGGAGTCCCAGTTTCTCTTCCAGCTCTTGTAAACCAGTGCTGTTCTCTCAACCCCTCTGAAAACAGTTCCCAGGGTTGAAACATAGACTTACGAGCAGAGCCTGTCAACACAGCTCTGGTGACTAGAGCCGACGACAGGTGAGAAAGAGAACAGCGGAATGAAATGAACAGTGTTGTGCAAGTATTTACCCGTTTTGCATTGGCTTTACATTTATGCTGATAATTTAAGCTTTGTAAAAGTAGAAGTAGACACATGCTAGCGCAAATCACATGATCACATATCACATGATACTATTTGAGTTCTGTACATTCCTCAATTACATAATTCTCGTTGCCGTCACAGAAAGGCCAGACTGCCCATCTACATTACACGTTCCAAACTTGTTGACCCTCTTATGAGCTGCTGACACGGTCTTCTGGTAGCCTACACGTGAAACTAATAACCACGGCTGTTTTTCTCCAGCTTTGACCTCGAATATTCCAGGTTCAGTAAGAGTTGCGCTCAGTTGACAACATCTGTGGCATAATGTTGATTACCACAAAAAAAAAATCATTTCGAATCAGAAATGTGAAGCTCAAAATCTGAAGGTTTTTGAGCCCGCGTGTTTGGTGTGTAGATGTGAAGCGCAGGCAGCTGGGCGTGAGTGTGAACTGAAGAGACTACTGGATGGAGAGAATCATTTCACACTTTGTCCCATAATATGAATAATTCACACTGCTTTCATCAGCCCTCATTTAGTGGCTCATTTGTCCCGTCACACTCAAAGCCTTCGCTCACACACTCCTCAATTCCTCGCCGAGTCTAATTAGCTGGCTTTTAACATCTTTTAAGATGTTTAGTTTTCATCACAATATCATTTTTGCTTCTTACTTTTACCATTGGAGTGTTTAAGCTGACACAGATGTCATTTATTTAAACCAACCAATCCTCTCACAGCTTTACCTAATAGCTCATATGCTACAAGTCTGAGATTGCTAGTTAAAATTCTTCTATTGTGCATTT